TTATTTTAATCTAAAATTTTAGTAAAATAAAATTATCTTTTTGACAAAAAAAATAAAATTTAACATTTTATCACCAAAAAAATTTCAACTGAGCCATTATACTTTTATCGTTAGTTAACTATAACTATTGATTAGCATTGGCTCTAAAATGGCTTGGTTGAAGATTTATTTTATCCATCAAGTAGTTGGTGATTTTTTTGACTGAAAGTTGTGAGTTAAGAGTTTTTTTCAGCATTTTTTCCAATCTAAAACTAAGTCCTTAACTAAGAATTCTAAAGCTGTAGAAATATTTTTTTCTATGCATATGGTTTTTGATTTTCTTCATACTATTCTATTTTTCTTTTATTATTTCTTAGTTGGCAAAAATGAACAAAATCTATATTGTTTTATATATAGAAGGCATAAAAAAATATAGAAGAATATATATATATATGGGAAAAATCTTAAAAATATATCAACTATATATATATATACTAGGTGGTGACCTGCGCTTCGCGTGGGATTACTAATTATGTTTTTGTATTTTTTCGGTTTATGGTTTGTATTGGTCGTTCTTGTTTTGAAAAAAGTGTAGATAATTGTAATTCGTGTTTTGTCTGTGCTATCATTTGTACATTGTATGTTTTGTGTTTTTTTTAAGATTATTTTTTTATTTAAAAATATTATTTTTAATACACATTTATTATTAAACTCTAACTGAGAGCATGGTCAAAGTATAAATTAGTACATGCAACTGAAATTTTTTTCTACCAGCAGTTTAGAAATCTGCGGCCCTACATATTGGACAATTTTTAGTTGTATAGAGCCAGTTGACAATACATTGATGGTGGTACATGTGATTACATGGTAGGCTGTTGATGTCTTCTATTCCTTTAAATGTTTGTAGACAGATTGGGCAGTCTTCATTTTCATCTTCAAATGTTGGATTCCTTTTAGTCGTGTTGAGATTGGCTATGAGAGTGTCTGTGTCCATCTTTGACCTTGCATGATAGTTATTATCGCTAATTTTGAAATAGATATCAATGGTTGTACCTATATCAGTTTGATGAGATATTTGCACTGCGTTTAAGAAGCTGACAAAGTAAGCCGCTGTTCTTCTTGCTTGTGTCTCTTCTATTTCATGATAGGTAAGAAGAGATTCTATGGTTTGTGTTAAGGTAGTTTGTGATGTTGAAAATCCGTCTCTGGCGTATGGTATATCGATGATGATATCATTCTGCTCTGTGTGTGGTCTTTTGATGATTAGATGTATTGTGGTGGAGCTATATGTATTACGAAGATGTGTTTCATAGGAGAAAGAATATGATATGTTTTGCTGGTCTCCCATTGTTTGTGTGGTTATTATTGCGTTCGTACACTACATTTGTCTATTTATAGCAATTTTTGCCTCCCCTTGTGTTTTGGTTTTTTTTTAATAACCTCCGTTTTGTGTTACTTTTCCATCCGTTTGGTCATTATTATTGATTGTCTTTAAATTTTCCATTTACGTTAGATCACTGAATATTTATTTATACGTTTTCCTTTAAGTTTCAGGTTCAATAGTATTTGGTACTCTTGTAATCTGGCTGGACATATAATTAATGGAAGACACTGGTTTGTTGGGCTTTTTATATGGGTTGGCGTGTTGTGTATGGGCTGTTATCGTATTACCTTTGGGATGATTATAGGTTCTCCCAATTTACAGAAGCTCAGTTTTGTTGTCACGTAACTCTTTTTATTTTATTGGGCCGGTTTAGCTATCTTTAAACCCAGGAATTTTTTTGTTTCTCCTTTGTGACTTCTACAGTTCTCGTGCTCCTCTTCTACCTCCAAAATTGGAATGCCTCATTTTTTTTTCCCGATGAATTTCCGAATAGCTTTAGGTGTCTGCCCATTGCAATCATTCTCATTGAACTCTATTCTCTGGTGCCCTCTGTTTTAGGTCTCGGTCAGATCTCGATACAAATGTGGATGTGTTTGTGGATTGTGTGGCCGTGAGAGGCGATTCAGCTGGTGTCTCCGTTCAATCTTGTCGTTGTGTTGTGGTCAGTTATTATGATATTTACCTACTTTTTGGGGTGTTTTGTAATCAGTTGTTCATATGCCAAATTGGTTGCTTAACTTTTAGGCGTTAGCTCTAGGGCCTGAAAATTCATTGTAATCATTATTTTATTTTCTATTTTGTTAGTATGACTCTTTGACCATTGATTTGTTTGGCGTTGGAATTTGTTTGCTACTCGTACTTTCCTGTTATTTTGTTTGTAATTGATGTTGTTCTTAGTTTTCAATGACTTCATAATTAATTTTATTATTGAAACCGTGATTCTAACATAGCGTTGGGAGATAGTGAATCTAGTAGGTGGTTTCAAATGATGAATACAAACTTCACCATCTGTTTATAGTAGAAACAGTTTGAGCATGCTGTGGTGAGGTCTTTTAGGTTGCATAGAATTGGTTTATTGGCACAAGTGTTGTCATGTAGCGTCGTTTCTGGACGACCCGTATACCATGCAGTGCTCGTTTGTTGAATTTCTAACACTGTGTTGCTTTCCCTTTGTTCTGTTTCCATCCCAGTTTCTCCAAATATTTTTTCCCTTCCTCTTCTGCTCCTCTGCATAACATGATAATACCATAGATATACATACCATTTTCATATGATCCTTCTGCAGCTGATTTTAGATGATGGAGTCCAATGTTTGTGTTGTTGCGGTGGAAGTACTCTTGTATGCCTTTGATGTAGTGGACCTCAGTATTTCTGTGTTGTAGACATCTCTCCATTAGCTGTGTGTATCTGTTTAGTGCTTGTAATGGTTTCATTGCCAGAGGGTTGAGGTTCATTTTTTTGTTGACGCGCTTGTCATTTGCCACCTTTGCTAGCTCTGGAGATGCTGCCATGGTATTACGCAATGATGTGCGGGAGATTTCGGCAACTCTTGAAAGAATATCACCGAGAAGGTCATTTGGTAGTTTCTCAAAGTTTGAAAGTGTTCTTTTGGGAAGCATTTTTTTCCCGGAGTAGTTTTTCGGGTTGTTTGTTGTGTTTGTGTGTACCTATGTGGGTATATATAGTGGAGTTTGCTTTAGGGGTTTGCTCTGAATTAATACTGTAATCAATGTGATTTATTACTCATAATATAGAGTAGTGGCCCTTTATTTCACGTAATTTAGTACAGCCGTTTCAAGTGAAATCTTTAGTGGCGTCCGTAACTGCACTGTTGGTTTTCATTTGGTTCTTGTGTTTTCGCCCGTCTAATTTTTTATCCGATATTTATTTGTTGGTTTTTTTTATAAATTCTAAATTCAGGCGTCGTCGTTTTCCCATTTTTCTTTACATCAGATTTTAGTTTTTAATTGTTTTTGTTTTTAATTTTTTTTGTGGGCAACTTTCTCCCCACTTACTATATTCTTTTATTCGTCTTATTTTTTTCTTAAGTTCGGTGGCCAATATATTGCTCCTCCCGTCTTTTTATGTTTCTTTCTCGCATTTTTTTCTGGTCATAAATTGTTTCATTAATTTGTTAAATGCTTTATTAATAAACACATCTGATAAATATTGTTCTTATTTTACCCAAATTCATGATTTCACAGCATATCAGAATTAACTTGTCAAGTGTTGCATAATTTAACGCAAATACGATTTCTAAAGTGAGAAGCTAGGTCGGCGTCTCTGCGGCTATGTCCACTATTGCTCTAGAGAGTCCTAATGCTAACAAACTTCCTCATTTGCTTGTAGTAGTAGCATTTGTTGCACCGGTTGTCCATGTCGTTGAGGTGGCATTCTGGTGGAGGTTTGTTATTTCTTAGGGTGTTGCGGTATCGACTTTTCTTTATGACCGGAATGCCTTGTAGAGATGTTTGGATACTTCTCCAGCATTGGTCAGCTGTTTTTTTGTTTTCTTTCCACTGTAGCTTGTCTAGGTATGCTTTGCCCTCATCCATTTCTCCCCTGCATAACATGAGAATACCATAGAGGTAAATACCATTCTTGTAGGAACTGTCTGCTGATGTCTTCAAATGCTCCAGTCCTAGGGTGGGGTTGTTGTGCTGAAAGTATTCTAAGATGCCTTTTCACGTAGTGTGCTTCTGCGTTTCCACTTTCAAGACATCGTTCCATGAGTGCTTGAAAGTTGTTTAGTGCCCATAATGGACGGCTGGCAAATGCTCCTAGGTTGAGTCTCTTAACCACTTGGTTGTCTTTTGCATGTTGCGCCAACTCTGGTGATGATTGCATGATGTTGCGTACGTCTGTGCGTGATGAACTGGCTACACGTGAGAAGATTTCTCTGAGTAGCTCATTTGGGAGAGCTTCAAGTGGGCAGAGTTTTCTTTGTCTTTGCATATTTAGTATTTTTTGTGCGAATGGTTGATGTGGCTGTAGCTAGGTACCTTTATATAGTAGTTTTCCGCAGTGTTGTTAGATTGTATTGATTACAAATTTATTTGCCTTAAATTCTCTTCATAATGGTTGTGGATATTTATTCCTACCTATTCAGTGGGTGTGTCCGTTACTTTTCAATCGTTTCATGTTGTTTTACAATATCGCATCTGTGACGGCTGTTGATTTATTCTTTTTTAGGGCGAGTTAGAGCATTATTAATCTTGTATAACCATTTCATATTGTCGTACAACTTCTTTCATGTAAATTTATATAAATTGTGTTCAGTGTGTTTTTATTTTACTGGTAAGTTGGTTAGTGGAATACTTTAATGAATCTTTAGTAGTATGAGCGTGTGTATGCCGTCATTGTTTTTTCCCCTTTCTTGGTGTTCTGTAATTTATTTTAAAATATTATAAACTTTCGATTATTACAGTGTGGTGATTCTATTAGAAACAATTTCCGTAGTTATTAGAACTGAATTACCATAAATCTTAAAGAAAAGATGTCCTGTGAATTGTGGTCCACAATAAAAGGAAATGGGTTTTGGATTACACGGGCTTCTCTTGCTTGGTTTATTTGGATCATGCATACCTGATCTTCCTCTGAAATTTAGCTTCTTCGTATATGAGCGCATTGTTTGTCCGCATCCTTCACACCTGTGATTTTAATTGTCATATGAGCAAGTTCAATATCTTTCTTCAGTAAGAAGTTATAGTCATTACCTCATGCTTTGGGCAGGTTGTTGAATATTTCTTTGTAGACGATATTACAGACGCCTTCTCCCTTGCTCGTCACTGATGTTTCATCAAGAATTTTAAGGCCTCCAGGTGAAGTTACACGTGAAAGTGCTACATAAAGCTGCCCATGGCTGAATACTCCCTTTGGTAGATAGAGAGCAACTCGTTTCAAGCTTTGTCCTTGGCTCTTATTAATCGTCATTGCATAACATATTCTGATGGGGAATTGACGTCTTCGCAGTGTGAATGGAAGCATGGTGTCGGTCGGTGATAATTGAATCCTTGGAATTAATACCTTCTCACCCACGTGTGTCCCAGTTAGTATCTCTGCCTCAAGAACTCTGTCTCCTAGACGTGTAATCACTAACCTGGTCCCATTGCATAAGCCGTTTTTTTGATTGAGGTTGCGTAACAACATTACAGGTATACCGACTTTTGGGTGGAGACGATGATTTGGTAACCCAGGGAAGTCCAGGGAGTTTAGGTACTCTACAGCGTAGTGTGATCTCCAGTCACCATCTGGTGTTGCCTCCATTTCGGTGCTGTCCGACCTTAGATATTCCCGCATTTCAGAAGGTACCTTGGATAGCAAGTAATCATTTATTTCATGAACTGTCTCATTCCTTGGGGTCAGTATTGCTCTTTCTGTCAGGTAGTCATGTTCTTGGTAATGCTGTAGGAAGTTTGGGTATGCTGCACTTGCGATATCATTGTGCGGGTCCTCTGTTTTAGGAAGCATAAAATCTTGAGCAATGGATATTTTATCTCCTTCACTGTGGTTTTCTTGAGTTTCTTGTACTGTTTTGGCAGTTCCGTTACCAACTTGCAATATCCAATCGGCGAATTCTATATCCTCTTGTTGGAGTCTCATGTTTTGCGACAGCATGAAGACATTACATGACTCCCACAAGTATGATTTACTCACGGACGCTGAGACAGTATCTTGGCGGCTCCCTTGTGCAACAACAGGTAAGATCTGTCTGAAATCACCACCCAGCAAGACTGTTTTACCACCAAATGTTTTGTGAGCTGCAGATTCATCCTCTGTAGAAAGCAAGTCTCTTAGTGTTTGGTCTAGTGCTTCAAATGTGTGTCGATGAGCCATCAGTGCCTCATCCCAAATTATCAACTTTGCCTTTGCTATCAATCCAGCTAACATTGATCCCGCTTGAATATCACAGACCGACCCCTGGTGAATGTTTAGTGGTATGTTGAAACGTGAGTGAGCCGTCCTGCCTCCTGGTAGTAGTAGAGCCGTGATACCAGCTGATGCAACAGGAATCACTACTCTTCCTGTTGAACGAAGCTAGGCGATAATTGTCTTGTATAAAAATGTTTTACCGGTACCTCCGGGGCCGTAAACAAAGAACAGCTTCCCTGCCTCATTCTCTATGGATTCCAAAACTGCATCGTATACCCTTCTCTGGTCTTCATTCAATGACCCAAACATCCTGTTGTGTTCTTCTGTTTCTGTGTCTTTGTCAAACATCATTTCTTGTCTGAGCACAGTGTTGTTTATGTCTTGGAGAATGGTTTTATCAGGCAGAGGCACCCCTTTGAAATCGGTTAGTGACCTGTCGTTTTCTTTAAGTAGTTTCTCGATTTCCATCAACGTATATTGCTGTTGCTGTGCATCATCTAGTTGTAAACCCATGAAGTTAAACTCCTTCCTCTTCTTGTATAGGATATCCTCCGCCAAATACTTCCAAGCGTGATTCCAAAGTTGTACGGGGTTGCCCACTTGACAGTACAGTAAGATGGTGACAAATAATTTCCTCATCTGAGTGGCTGTGGCCCAATATGCAGGTTCGTCTAGAGCATCATGCCATTCTTTGTCATCGTCCAGTAATCCTCTTGCGTAACATGCATCTCTGAACTCTGTATATGTGATTCCTCCAACTGTCAATATTTCTTCAAAACTTTTAGGACCTCGGACAACATTGACCAGAATCCTTAGGTAGTACAGTTCACCAGCAGTTGGGGGTATGTACACCACTCTCCCTATCGATGCTCGCTTCTTTCTTGGAGTCCATATTTTCTCAGAGCTGTGATAGACAAACATAGTTGGAAATTCCACATATGTTAAATTCTGCGCTTCCTCATATATGTTGTTTGCCTCCAACCCAAGCGGTGAACATAGTTCGCTCGATATCATCTCTTGATAAGACATTCGTTAAATCCACCGTCTGCTCAAAAACCACTCTTTGTTGACCAGGTAGGTGAATTGAGAGCTTCATTACAGAAGGCTGGTGGTAATGTATGTGGAACGCAAATATTCTCCAAGCTGCCTCGCATGCTGACACATAACGACAGTCAAGGTAATCATCTATCTCATTGGTGGTGTTGTTATCTGATTTCTTCTGGTCATCAGCATTTTTGCTTTTCTTTGACTTCTCGATTACAATTGTTGCTTTGTCCACACCTTTTGTAATGTACTTGAAGAGATATTTAATAGCGCTGGTTCTGCAACACCACTCGACGTTGATATGGGCCTTGTATTTCTTCAAAAGAGGTAGGTTATGATGCACAACATTACGATTGTCAAGTTTGGTATCACCCTTCATAACATATGTTGACTCATCTTCTCGTCGTCTGTAGACAACAAATCCAGATTTATCAATGCTTGTCTGCTCGGAAAATGGTCTTGGGTAGTTTTTGGTGCACTCGCCTTTCTCCATGCATGGCGACTTCAGCCGAGTCTTACCGCAAGGTCCATGCATCATATGTCGCTGCACTAACTCAAACCCTTCTTTGTCTGACTGTTTGTTTGGTAATTCGGCAGAAATATACTGATCGATCAATGAAGGTGTTGCTTCCCTGTAACCTTCAAACCAAAGGAGAATGTGTGCATGTGGCAGTCCACGCTTTTGGAATTCAATAGTACATACCACTGCAACAGGTAAATCGTAAAAACAGGTTTCTTGTTAGTTTCGTTGGTGTCATCGCTATTGTGTCATAAAATATGTATAAATGTTTTGAATATGATTTCTCACAAAAAATAATTTCACATATAAGGCCTACATATTTCGTGTTATATGGGAAGTTTGCTGTCAAATTTGTATACAACTATTTAATCTTAAATTTTTTTTTTTTAAAAGTTATGTAGCAGAAATGGTGTACTTGGCAAACGTTAATAAGCCCACTATTGATGTAAGCGAACTTAATATTACAATTTTGCACTTTTTCTTTGAACAGGTTAAACTCCAAAACTGATTTAATATGACGTCTACTTAGGTACTTTGATGTGACAGCATTACTAATCTATTAAATAGGGAACACAGGAAGTCTTATTTCTACGTGAATGTGACAGCAGGTGTGGTGATATCCATTCTTGGATATCATTTTCACTTTGCTTAGTTTTGAATGGCGTCCTGGTTAGTTGTTATAGTTTTAGAGTGTGAAATCTGTTAGGCCTGAATTAATTACGTATCTAATAGCCTTGATCTCAGGGGAGTAATCAGGAAAGTGAGGTAATTTAAAACAAAGCAATATGTTTGAAAAGATATTACCTGCTGCAGGAACAGGGAAGAATGTGCCTTTTTTGAAGTCTGCCATCATTTCATCCAGTTTTAGCTTAAAGAGTCGGCATTCTAAATCTGGCCTACTGTTTGCCGATTCTCCGCCATACGCGTCAAGGTGATCGGTTATTTCGGTCCAGCTGGGATTTGCGGTGACTGTGATGAATAAGTTTGGATTCCCATACCATCTACAAATAGCCATTGCGTCATGGTATTTTTCAGCCATGTATCTTGGTCCAGCAGTGAATGAAGATGGCAAAATAACTTTTTTGCCAACTTTCCGGGCATCTGTGTCGCCTCTCTCAACTGCATCACATACATTGTTGTATAAATCTGCTCGCAATTTCTTTTGGTTTAGCCTGATAAAGCGTAATCTTTCTTGCTCCGTTGCAGTGTAAGCATCTACAATATACTGATGCAGCAACCTCCCACCCTTGATGATCGTCATACCCTCTGTCAATCTAGTTTGAAGTTGGTAAGCATAGTATTCTCTCATCATCATGCATTCCCTCTTTATTTTCGTCCCTTCCGTTGTTGAATATGGTATCTTATCGTGGTAACCTTGTTCACCGTATGGGAATAATAGTGGATACTTGAGGCTCATGAAGAGTGGGTGTTGATCACTGATCCTCTGTAGTGAAGAAGACTTGAATTGGAGAACTACATCTCTTCCTCCAGTGTTGATTGTCAAGTCACCAACTATTAACCCCCCAATCTCGTCAGCACTTGGTAAATCATATTGTCTCCCACGATGCTTTTGGCTAATCAACCTGATATTGAACTCAACTGTTTTATCAGATTCATAACGATCCCTTGCATGGCGGAATATTTTTGCAAGATGATTATTTGCATCCAACATTGTGATCAGTTGATCGACAATATTCTCATCAATTTTGAGTTTTGCAGCTCCACCGGTGATTGCTTTGATTCGGTTGTGGACCTCATTTGCTGTGTCGAATATATAAAGTTGGAGAAACTGTGGTGGTTTCCCTTCAACAGGCACCAGGGAGCCTATTTGGTGATGATTCTGACCATGGATTCTGTAGGTAAACGGTCCTTGAGTTCCTGTGACAGTATGATCCACGTGTGCCCCCATTGATGTGAAGGCCAGCATCGCATTCACTACACGGATATTTTGACGGAATTCCGGTAATTCTAGTACCTCTTTCAGCGGTGACGGCGGGTCCTTAACACGTGGGAGCTTCACACGTCCTTGTTGACAACAAATGCTGAACAGTCTTTTAGTTGGTAAGGTTTTATTTCCAACAGCTTCACCTACCCATACTAATGCATCACAAAATGAGCACGCAACTAATTCCGTATTGATTGATTGGTAGCCTATTGTCGATCCTGCATTAGATTTGAAAGCTGTTTCAGTTGTAGTTGGAAATTGCATGGTTTGTGAAACTATTGATTTGATAGCTTTGGAATTTATTTGTACCTGAAACCTTTGCGGACCGTACAGCTATTGCTGGGGAAATGTAGAATAACACGACTATGAGCTTTTTTTCCAAAAATACTGAATTGCAATTCACGTTCCATTAAGTTTGTTTTTATGGTCGCAATATGTGTACTTACAGGAGCTGCTTCTATTGGCTTTTTGGTTTGCTCTTAATTTCTGCCGAAATTCCCTTCTGGTTTTTGCCACAGCTGCACATTATATTAACCGTTTAAATTGTTTTTAGGCTGCAAAACCTTGTACACATTTGTTGACATATAAGTAAGCCACCTTTTTGACAACGCATCCCATTTGTGTTAATCAAGTGTAAGTCGGTTTTCATGGTAAAATTGGGAGCCATCCAGGGAGGTAGCCTTGTCTCCTCTTTCACACCTAGAATACATGCATTGTTGTTAAAAAATTATGTGAAAATATAGGTAAAGCGACTCCGGAGAGATACTTATAAATTTTCTTACGGCGAGTTTTTGTGACTCCGTGAGAGACGGTTCTTTGAGTTGGTAGTTGAGCTAACACTATCAAAATAAGATGTGCAGAAAGTAACCTGTGGTTAGTTGTCGCCTTTTAAACATCGTCACTCTTATGTTTTTTGTAAATGTACCTTTATCATTTTTTGGGCCTCTTCTAGATGATAACAACGTCTTCTGGACCTCTCGGGCTTTCTTAGCTAGACCTAGAACATTGGTAGAAGTGATTTTATAAATAATTATAAATGCTCGGTGATTTGCGTTGTTTGTTTAGATAACTGTGAATACCCTGGCTTTCAGGTGTCTGGCTGGAGTGGAGGAAACACATGTTTGGAGTTGAGAGATATTCAGCAGATAGCCATGGCTGACTTTGGTCACCTTTCTGGACACCTGCATTTCATTGCGTAGTGAGGTTGTTCAGTAGCTATGAAATTAGTTTTGGGTAGTACATATTCCTACCTTTTTTGGGAAGGGAAGCTTTCTTCATAACTATAGTGTTGTTTTTGGACAAACACTTCATTCTTTTTTCCAGGGAATGTTCATGTTGGCAAACCGTTTTCCCTTTATCAAGAGGTGTTTTGTGCACCATGATGTCTGTTACACGTAGATTTGGTAATTGGGGAGCAATAGGTGATATTTGGAAGAAGGGTAAGTTTACTTCATCTGGGCATTTTACCTCATCTGGGCATTTTGTAACTGAAATATTGTAATTGATATATAACAATAATATTATGTAATTAACGCTATTAAATATGCCTTAAATCATAAGCGACAGCTATGTGCCCGTTATATATGGTGATCATATTTATATCATTATATGGTGAGATATTTTCGTCTCCTTGACAATTTGATGCTTAAAACTCTATCGCCAACAAATTTCCATGTCTTTCTTTTGGCTACGTAGTTGTGGTTCCTTTTTTCACTTTCTCTTGTTGGTTTTATGATTCGCAAGACAAAATGAACAAACCATGCTCGAAATGAAAATAGAGGTCTCTTTCCTTTTATGTTTCACTCATAAAGATAAACATATCCTAATTAGATTGCGTAAATCTTCTGTGGTTTGTTGATTGTGATACTGTGTATGACAGTTCAATTGAGCATAAGATTGATTGCGTTGGTTTATACGATAGGAAAATATTATTGACAATACTCTTAATTTCATCGAAAGTAGAAGTATACATGTCTTTGTAGGTGCATTATTTCCCGAGAAGAAAAATCTTATGAAAGTTGAAGACAAAACTCCTCTTTCTTATTGAACAGCGAGAAGTAAATATAAATACTCTCACAATATATTGGTCGTCTCACATATCGAGGACCACAACTACAAAGTCAAATGCTGAAGATAATAGAAAACAAAACGGTAAATTCTTCTTAAAACATAGTAGATAAGATTGGGGTGAATGAGCGGCGGCGGCTAATCTGTCCGAGCCTTTTTGGGTGGCTGTTCCTCAGATTCAGGTGTTGGATTAACAATTGTTGGATCGCTTGTACTTGAATTATCATTCGGTGGTTGTACATATTGAGGGAGAGTGGCAGTCATTCCAGGGTCATTCATGTAGACCTGAAAATGTTTAAGAATATTGAAATTGTGCATACGATGGAAAGAGTTAGTGGAGATAACGAAATGTCAAAATAGACCTGGGTGTCAAATGTTGCTGATGGCAAAACTTCAGGAGATTCTAGAATGCGGGCAACTGTGAATGTTTGATGTTTGGCTGTGAAGTTGTACTCAGATAGCTTCAGTTGGAAAGTGTATGTTTTACCCACAATGTCTTTGATGAATTGTGGGAGATCTGTTTCCTGATTATCCTGCACATTGGTTACATGGAACTCTATGAATCAAAATTGGAAAGCCATAATGGTTGTAGCCTACATGGTTATGTGTGAAGATGGGTATGGAGTTAAGTAGTAAGGTGAACATACTGTGATGGCTCCGGCATCTGATGCTCGGACATTTGTGAGTTTGGCTATGTCTGTATCAAAAGCTACAAAAACAGCGGAATCGTAGCTGTCTGAGACTACCATTTCCACTCGGTACCTTTGGATAGCATACATGTCACCTTTTAGTTAGTTTTTGATAACGTTTCATACATGACTACCTATTTGTGGTTTGGGCAAGATAGTAAACTGAGATACCTTATGACCGCAACAGCATTGGAGTTGTGGCAAACACTGCACGTGAAGGATGAGGTACCTCTGTGCAGTTTCTTCGAACATTTGGAGCATGAGATGTAACACCAGCCGTTTTTGGTTTGGATGTCCATCACTGTGCTTGTGCATAGGAACTGAATGGCCTGCGTTGTAAAGTGTGGGAAGACATCTTTGAGAGTGGTTAGTAAATATAATCATTTGGTTTGTTTTTCTTAACCTGTGGTGCAGACTTGAGGATGAATTCATTTAGCTCTGCAACTGTAACAGACTCAAGCTTTTGTACCCCACAGTATGTAGAAGCTGCCTTGGATTTCCCATTGTCTTTGTCAACCACATTGCAGTGTCTATTGATGAAGTGTGTGTAGTAGATGATGTAGATTAAATATGTGAAAAGATCATTTAAAATTGTATGTCTAGATATATATATATCTATATATATCTTACAGCTCGGAGTAGCTTCTGCAGGAGTCCGTGTCGTTGTCGAAATAGAAATGACTCCCTGATGTTGCATTTAGGAATAGCCTCCCTATATGGCAGCCAAAATTACGGCAAGATTTAATATTTTAAGGTATTAAATTAACTAAAAGCGCAAACAAAAACAAAATCAGTGTCTAATAAGTAAACATTATCAAATCCATCGCAAAAGGGTCCCTGAGTAAATATTAGAATTTTAAGCATTCAAAGTTGGGACCGTAAACAAACCTCCTACAAACTTGGGGTTCACATTAGTTGCAAGGAGTACTCGGGGGTCCACTTTAGAGCTTTGGAGTTTCTGGTGTAGTTGGGATGCTAGCCCATCGAAAGCACTCATGGTGACGATTACGTTGCTGTGGGAATCAATGAATATGATTAATAAATTGTGAGTTGGAGGATTTTTTAAAAAAATGAAAAGACCAGTGCAAAGTAATTGGTGGAGGATTACTTGGACAGTCGTATCTGGGCCATAATCCGCTGAGTGATGTGGGTGTGGTCGTCGTGGATGGTTTTAATCATCACAATTTCACCAATTATGTCTGACCAGGAATAAAGAATGAGTTAGCTGCGTGACAATAGCAAAGAAAATAGTTATGTAGCTATTTCTATATGTTTGTTCAGAATCACTAGGGAGGTCTGAATTGGTGTTAGCCAAGCTTAGCAATTCGTCATGGCTACGGAATCTGAACATATCTGTCGGTATTGGGGAGTTGGGGTCAAAAATTTCAACGAAGGTGGTCTGTTCAGTAAACCGGATGGATATGTTGGAGTCAGACAGCTTGAACTGAGGGTTGCTCCGGGTGACATCGAACCCACTTATAGCATATATTCCTCCCTCGTGCATAAGGTGCTTGAAGGTGTTAAGTCGGTGGACGCTTATTGATCCTTGAATAAGAGTCGCCTGACAAAACAATGACAGAGATTGGTGAAAGATGGTAATATTATTTAGTAAGTTACGTAGACGACGTTGAGAACAAACAGCCCAAAAATTATACGCAGTCGACACTTGGAACAAAATATGAAGATCTTTAAATGTGAAAGTCACCTTCTCATCTAGGAGGAGCATGTCAACACCCATGAGCTCTCCACCTTTCTTAACGTTACGGGCCTCCCAAAACCTAAGTAGCCTAGCAACAATTGGTTGAACACCACGGCCGGCTTTCAAATCCCCAAAAAGTTTTTGACAGCTTCCCATATCTGGGTGAATTTAAGCAGGTGGGAGAGTTTTTTTTATGGTTAGAATTAGCAGTGGGGAATGATATAAAAAGAGAAGGAGTGATTGGAGGCCTATTTATACAACGAAATTGGGGATGCAAGAGAGTTGAATTCAGCGATTAAATGGTATGTCAGTTTCAAAAAATGATTTAATTGAGGTGGTAATAATGGTGATATTATTGAGTGATTATTGTATGGAAAAATTGAAACGTTATGACATTGAATGGAGTAATGGAGAAGAAGAGAGGCGACGTTGCTGTAACTTTAGAAAATCAGATCGTTGAGAAACAAAAGAAAGAGGCGAAGAGGTGGGAGGAAAGATTGGTATCTGTAGGCCCAACTCTTAATGAGTTTTAATAATCTAATTCCGCAGGCCCAATTTTTAATGGATTTCAATAATCTAGTTTTGCTTAATATAGGAAGCCCAAATTATCAGAGTGTTGAAGCGAGATTAAGAAAAAAAATAATGCTGATGTGTCATCGAAATAGAGAAAGCTTAAATGACGTGGAAGCCTGAAAAGAGAGAACATTCTCCTTTATATATATAGATATATATTTTTGTCGACTTTCAATTATATTGAAAAGTCCAAATGGGCTGAAACGGTACAAAAGAGGCCTAGTAAATAAACCCAATAGTTACACACAAGAAGATAAAAATTACGCAACATCAGACACATGTGTGCAACATGTTCAATGGGGAAGACGGAACATTACAGTCGACGTCTCTCGCCGCTGAATCAACAAAATTTCTACCGTCAACTTTTGCCGCCGGCAAATTTGCTGGATTTCTTCAATTCCGCCAGTAAACTTATTCTATCATTGGTCCTTTCTTGTACCGTTATTAACGCCTTTTGCACTGAATCGTCAGAAGAGATTGACTTGATCTATGCTTGAGCCATCAGAAATTAAATCCTCAGCAGATTAAACTGGAATACTCTCCAAAGAACCGTCAGAACACGACTTGAACTCCAAATCTTTACATCCCACTCTAACCTAACTGCACCAACTAGATAAAATATCAATTGAGAAACCATCGCCCTAGATAAACTTTCAAATCAGAGCGATGATATATCTAGCACTTCAATGAAACAAGTATCTGCCAATACTTCTAAAGGATTAACTTCTCGACAAGCTGATGCAAAAGGAAAACTAACTAAAGATTTCTCTCCAGAAAGAGAAAACAAGAAGAACAAAGGAGAGAAAAACAAAACCAAAATTGAACAAGCCGAAGAGAAATCCGGATACCGCCGGAAAACTAAAATCCGATGAACAGAAAGGTATATAACACAAAGATCCAGACATACTGGAATTTATTCTCCGATCAATCAGAAGAAAACCAAAAAAAGATAAGATCACACTCTCTCTCTGAAAGATCTAGAGAGAAGAGAGAGAAGAGAGAGAAGAGCACTTCTCCTAAAAAGCTTTTACTACTTATATACAACTATATAAAAGCCGAAAGAAAAATACATGAATTATTTTGGCTGTTTAAAAAAACTAGGTATCTGCCCGCGCCGCGCTGACACAATCATTATATAAACCTTATTATAATTTGATTATCGAGATTCTTGTAACATAAACATCACATTTTTATTTTCAATTTTTGCCAAGCGCGGGCTTTATATATTTAAGAAATCGTATAATATTTTTATATTTGAGTTTATGAATAATAGTTAAATTGTATAATATTTTTTGTTAAAATTTTGGTATATATTATTTTTTAAGATAAACAACACTTATTTACAATATTAAAATAAAATTATACCAGTAATATTAATTAAATATAGTAAAAATTGTACTTTATATAATAAACGAAATAAAATCTCATAAATATTCCTTCAGAAAAAAAAATTCTATGTCTAAGCCTCTAAAAAAGCTAGTATCACAATTATTATCATAATAAAATAAATATTAATAATCATCACAAT